TCTTTCTGTTTGTAATACAGTTCACTATATCAATTTGTTGATGTGGGTTCTTCTAATCTAATCCTCTCTAACATCTTCAGAACTTCTGCCATGGTAGGTCTTGTAGATAGTTCTGATTCAAGGCACATCATTGCTATACTAAATGCATGATTGACCTCGTGTGCTGGACAATCCATCAAACTGCAGTCGAGTACATACTCTTCTCTCTTTTCCTGGACTACCGATTTCACCTGCAACAAATGTATATAGATAAAAGCTTGTGCCTTTCTTACCACCTTAAAGTAATGAAACCATGCTGGAAATCACTGGAGAATAAAATTTACAGAGACTTGGTTCTTTAGCCATTTATCAAATGAAAAAAAATTAGAAGTAGCCACCTTGAAATCAAAATGGTTATAAATAATTTTTTCCACAAAAAGTGGCTATTCTTCATCTTTTTACCTTCAAAAGTTGCCTAATCTTATAGTTCAAGGTAATATGACCAATATCAGAACGTATAAATAAATGTAACTCGTGAGAAAATCGAACTGCACATCGGGTAGAAAGTTTTACCCAGGTCACTAGCTTAGTTCCCTCCTCAACAAATGCTTCATCTGTAGGCTTTTTACCAGTTAGAAGCTCCAATAACACAACACCATAGCTGTAGACATCTCCTTTCGCTGTAGCTTTTCCTGTGTCAAAATATTCTGCAGGAGATCAAAAGGCATCATTAGTAGATCATATATCAAGAAAACATCAGAACTGAAAACCAGCTTATAATTGTCTCAAAAAAGCATACCAGGAGCCAAATATCCAAAAGTGCCAGCAACTAATGTTGATACGTGAGTTTTATCCGGTTCCATCAAAGTAGCCAGCACAAAGTCAGATACTCGAGCGTCCAAATTGTGATCCAACAATATGTTGCTCGACTTAATATCTCTGTGGATTATGTGAGGAATGCAATCATGATGGAGGTATGATATCCCTCTTGCAGCTCCAACTGCTATTTTATACCTTGAAGGCCAGTCTAGAACCATTTTGTTCATAGATTTTCCTGCATAAATCTCAGTCTTTCATAAATCATCATCATCTCCTTCCAAATCGGTTGAGATTCTGTCTTCGAGATTGCAATTTGTAGATGGGGTAATAATAACTAGTATTATTAAATTATTTACGATATAATACACTTATATCCAACACAATATTTAATTCACTAATAATATGGAAATTATTTATTTGCTATTATTATTTTTTCTTATTTCTTATTTATTTTTAGATCTTGACTATTTAATATACAAACTTTATTATGTATATAAGTTTATAAAATTTTACAAATGTATAAGATAATGTGATATTTGCATGCAAATTACTTACATGCTTAGAAAATTATCGATTATCTTAGTCTTATAACTTTTTTAACAATTCAAAATTTGCACATTGCTTGCTAACTGACCAATGTTTAATCCATAATATTTTTATTCGTTTATTATAATTTTAAGTGCATGAAATTTTAAAATGTCTGATAATTAAATTTTATTTTTTAGTAACTTTAACACTTATGCAACACAAATTTTTCATGGTTAAATATTCTATTTTTATTTTTATATTGTACTATTTATATTTATTTCTTTAATTTTTTTTTCAATAAATATAATGAGTTAATTAGTATCCATTTGAATATTTAGATATATTATATATTTCCATGATTACCAAGTGCTATAATTTAAATTATGACACTTTATTACTTATTTTCAAATATAAAATAGTACATAACGAAAAATATATTTTTTAAAATTGAGTAGTTTTTTTAATGTACATAGATATTTCTAAGCTGAAATTTATTATTTTGAATTGTACCCGATCATCAAACATCAATTTTATTAATGTACTATTTTAACTTTCAATAATATTTTCGTTGCAAAAGAAATATTCAATGGAGATTTTGTTAAACTGACTACATTTTAGATTTTTTTAGTAATATTTTAAATTATTCATTATGTTAATATAATTAAAACATAATTATCCTAATTATTTTATCATATATTTTAATTATTTTTGAATAGTGAATATAATTAACTAAATTAATGTCTACAACCATATATGATAAAATATTTAATAAAATGTCTACAACCATAGATGATAATATATTAATAAAATTAATTTTTATAATATTTTTTAATTGTGTCACTAAATTACTATAGAATTAGTATTAAAATCTTATTGAAAATAGATCTAATCAATCTATTGTCAAAATAATTATATTCAAGTCAATTTATAGTTAATGAATATTAGTCATTGAATACAAATAAAGATGAATTAAATGTGAATATTGTGTCAATGAATATTGTGTCAATTTATAAGATTTGTTAACAAATAAAGATGAATTAAATGTGAAATATAGACGAAAAAAAATTCTCGCCGAAAATCATGCCAATTATGGCAATATGGATTAGTCCATTATATAGATATAGGTAGATATATTGATTGATTTATTTCTCATATATTGATTGATTTATTTCCAGATATAGTAAATAAGATTTGTTTTTTACGGAAACAATTACTATTTTAAAAATAATCGAACCTTTATATATATACTAGTACAACCGTATATGAGACTTTCATCTCGTACAACTCAAGCAAAAACACCCAAATAAAATAATAGTAGGATTAGACATGTAATAGAAAGTTTGAAACTTCTGAATCTCCGATTCAATCTTCTCTACATCTACGAAAGAAGAAAGAAGGGGGGAGACATTCCGACGCGGGGGTTCTATTCTCCACCATCAAGTTGTACAAAAAGAACGTTTTTGCTTCAACCCAAAGCTTCAAAAAGGTTTTATGAGATTCATAAGGTCCGCGGGGCGCCGGACGGTTCAGAAAGAGGAGTTTCACTTTGAAGAAAGGAGTACCTTTTACGAAGCTGGGCAAGACCCGGAGCAGAGCCATGCAACCAGTGTATCACTCGTCTGTTTGTTTAGAATTTATATTTAAAATTAAAATGATAATGATTTTTTTTTAATTTTTAAATACTTTTTTAATAACTATATTACTGTTAATATTTAAAATAATACCAAGCACATATACGTCTTATCATCTATATTATAATATTTTTTAAATTATACCATTTAACAAATTAGTAGCTAAATTGATTTAAATAATTTTGTTTTAATATTAATATTAATAGGTAATCTAATTTTTATTATAAAGATAATTATAACAATTTTTTTATTTTGTATGTACAACATAGGTGTCAAATCGAAGTTTATTAAGACATGATTAATTCGATAGATTATGAATAAAAAAATTGATAATGAATAAAAAATTCATTAACTTTTAAATCTACTTATAATTTGAGTTATGTTTTTTTTTTCATAATTTTAAAAGAGATGAGGAAAAAAGAAAGATCCAGGAAAAAAAATTATGCCTTATAAATCACGTTTAGAATAGAAAATATAACATAATTAATGCTCTAAAAAAGAAATATAAATATCTAGTATATTTATGGCTATTCCAAACTTATTTATTTTTAGATTGAGAATAAATTAAAATTCATCCCAGCCAAATAACAAATAATGAAAATTTACCACATAGGATTCCGAAGCATGCGAGTCTGCCACTTAGGCTCAACACATTTGGGAAATATATATAAGAGAGGGGATAGATAGATTAAATATCTTATAATTTTTATTTTAAAAAAAAATAAAAATAAATATCTCGAGGCATTTTTTAAAATAAATTCAAATTAAATACTAAGTATTCTTAAAATATCTCTCTGTCTTTAAAAATAAAAATAAAAGAAAAATTTATTTCTCATATAGATATAGGTAGATATATTGATTGATATTATTTCTAGATATAGTAAATAAGATTTTTTTTTACGGAAATAATTACTATTTTAAAAATAATCGAACCTTTATATATATATACATATATATATACTAGTACAACACCAGTGTATCACTCGTCTGTTTGTTGAGAATTTATATTTAAAATTAAAAATGATATTGATTTTTTTTTAATTCTTAAATACTTTTTTAAATATTTAAAATAACACCCATCACTTATACGTCTCACCATCTTATATTATAATATTTTTTAAATTATACCATTTAACAAATAAGTAGCTAAATTGATTGAAATAATTTTGTTTTTTAATTAATATTAATAGGTAATATAATTTTTATTATAAAGATAAATATAACATTTTTTTTATTTTGTATGTACAACATAGGTGTCAAATCGAAATTTATTAAGACATGATTAATTTGATAGATTATGAATAAAAAAATTGATAATGAATAAAAATTTATTAACATTTAAATCTACTTATAATTTGAGTTATGTTTTTTTTTCATAATTTTAAAAGAGATGAGGACAAAAGAAAGATTCATGAAAAAAATTATGCCTTATAAATCACGTTTAGAATAGAAAATATAACATAATTAATGTTCTCAAAAAGAAATATAAATATCTAGTATATTTATGGCTATTTCAAACTTATTTATTTCTAGATTGAGAATAAATTAAAATTCATCCAAGCCAAATAACAAATCATGAAAATTTACCACATAGGATTCCGAAGCATGCGAGTCTGCCACTCAGGCTCAACACATTTGAGAATTATATATAGGAGAGGAGATTGGTAGATTAAATATCTTATAATTTTTATTTTTTTAAAAAAATAAAAATAAATATCTCAAGGCATTTTTGAAGAAAAATTCAAATTAAATACAAAGTATTCTTAAAATATTCCTCTGTCTTTAAAAATAAAATAGAAGAAATGAATACACGGCCTTATGCTGAAATTCTTTCTCAGATCATCTCCAAGGCTGTGTCAGATTGGAGTATTTCGCTGGAATTGCGCCACTTCTCTCCTCCAGTGCAACGCTACAATTTTGCGCTAGATTAAAGGAATGAACAGTATATCTCTAGATTTGGCGCAACACTTTGTTGCAATAGATTTTTCATTTTTTTTTTATTATATCTTTTATTTATATATTTTGTATAGATTTCTTTTATTATTTCTATATTGTTATGAAATAATAAAATAATGTATGTGAATGACTATTTTGCCCTCGATGTATTTGTATTATTACGAGTTGTGTCATCAGAAGTTTCCTATAAATAGGACCTTCAGTTATAATGAAAATTGTACCTAAGAGAATACATTTTCTCTATTCTCTCTCTTTCTCTTTAGTTTTATAACACGTTATCAGCACGAGTCTCTGCCCTCTAGAGCTCAATTTGTAATGTGAGAAGAGTATGCTCTACAGTTGCGTCTTATAGACGATCCTCTGTATCAGAAATTCGATTATTACTTCATTTCCGTAAAGCTTTCCCAAGAACAACAATGCTTAATCACCATCTCATTTACAGTCCTTAGAAAAAATATACTCATTTACATAAACCTTTTGTGAGTAAATACAATTCAGATAAAACAGAGAGAGAAAATGTTGGGAAGCTCGATTATATCTTCACCGACAAGTTGTTCAAGTGACCACGGGAAGCAGAATGCATTTGTCGAAGCTTACGAAGGCAAAATTGGTAAGCGGTAAGAGGGCGCTGTGATTATATACAGGTATTGCCAACTGAAATTTTTCGAAAAAAAAAAAAAATCACAAAGTATGCCATGGCCATATAGAAAAGAAAAGATGATGGTGAACAAAGAATAACAAAGAAAAAGGGAAAAGAAAATAAGTTTAATTGAGGTGTGTGATGTGCGCAAGAATGGAAAAAGAAAATGAAAATGAAAAAAAAAATGAAAAGAGAAAAAGAAGGGTGAGAGAAGAGATACTACCTTTAGTTTGATCCTCTAAAGAGTTTCACACTTGCAGCATTCTTTGGATCCCCAAGATATTGAGTAAGTTATCTAGTTCCTTGTCCAGATTTGCTCTTTGTTTTAATAGTATTTTATTTGACAGCATTTTTTTCTTTTCAACCCCATATAGAGCTGCCACTAAAATTTTATCTTTTCAATAATACAAATAAGTATATGAGCATGATTTTTTTGGAGGCACGTTTTTTCAAAGCATAAATA